AGAATGCCCACTCTCAGATGCCGCCTTTGAATTGAGAAATTTGTGACAAGCTACGACAGAACTGTAATTTAAATTTTTAGAGATTAATAATTTAGTACATTTGAAATAATTTAATCTATTCTTCAACTAAAAGTACGAATATAATAGTACATATTATGTCTGTAATTGCCGTAAATTTCAAGTAGAGTGGGAATTCTGATTGTTTATTATTCTGTGGTAAGAGCCACCTGCTAGCCCAAAGGCGTCTGATCTTTTCTTCTTACTTTTAGCTGTACGCAGTTGTTGCCGGTGTAATATTATTAAGTCCGGAAGCCAATGCAAGCAAAGATTTATTTTCCATTCTTTTTCGTCAAGTTCCACTCCTATCGGAGATTGGAAATCATTCTGGCAAATATAATTTTGTTGGTTACGCGCCTGAATAGTTTAATTAAACTACATTCAAACCATTCACGGATATTGCGTAGCCACGAGATTTTACGTCTTCCTACGCTTCTCCTTCCTTTGATTTTAACCTGCATTATATTCTTTAGTAGTTCGTATTTTTAACCTTTCATGGTGTGCCCAAGTATTACAATTTCCTGATTTTTATGGAATTTAAAACTTAGCGTTGTTTTCCTAGTTGTTCGAGAACTTGCTCGTTTGTTTTGCGATCCATCTATGATATTTTCAAAATACGTCGGTAACACCACATTTCGAATGCTTCTAAGTTTTCAATGTTGGATTTTTTAAGTGTCCAAGCTTCAACACCATAAAAAAGGGTAAAGAAAATATAACATCAAAGTTGACTGTGCAATTTCAATGCTGCATCTTATTTCTTTTTTCTGATCAGTATCTTCTGTGATCCATGCTCCAAGGTATTTGTACGAAGATATTTGTAGAATTTCTGTATTATCTAGTACTAGCTTAACTTTGACGTTTTGTGCTTTTGTAAACACCATGAACTTGGTTTTCTTCAAATTTATTTTTAGTCCATAATCGTTGCAATATATATTTAGTTGTTCAGCAAGGTATTATAAGGCCCTCACTGATCTCGGCAAGCGTTAATTCTGAGATGGCTTCACTGTATAAATTGAATAACAAGGGTGACAAAATACACCCTTGACAGACCCCACGGCGAATTTGGATGCCCTCGGTCAGTTCATTTTCAACTTTCACTTTTGCTTTTTGGTTCCAATAGAGGTTACATATGATTCTCATGCCTCTACTATCTATGTTTTTATTTAATAAAATTTCTTTAAGCCGATTATGCTGCACTCTGTCAAATGCCTTCTCAAAATCAATGAAACAGGCATACACTTCCTGATTAATATCTAAGTATCTCTGCGAAAGAACACTTACTGCAAACAGTACATCTCGTGTTCCCAGTCCTTTCCTAAATCTCATTTGTGTATTACTTATATGCCTTCATCTAATTTATTATGTATTCTATTGTGAATTACTTTTAAAAAGAATTTCAAGACATGAAGGCTATGGTGCGATGTTCATTGCACTCCTTTGTATTAGTTTTTTTGGGAAGCAGTATGAATGTTGATTGAAGCTATTCTTTAGGTATTATACCTGTTCTATATATGGTATTGACCTCGATAGGAACTTCATCAGGCCCGGGAGATTTACCACTTTAGCTTGTTTCATTGCATATTCAATTTCTTCTCGTATAATGTCAGGCCCAGTATCATCCTTAAATTCTTTTGGTGCTTCTGTTCTTTCTTTGTCTATAAAAAGTTGTGCTATATATTGTGTCCATCTCTGCATTTTTTTGGTTTATATCTGTTATAAGTGCACCACTTTTATCTCTTAGTTGCCTAGTTTGAAGTGTTTTTCTTATTCCTGTTTATTCTCTAATTCTTTTATCCATGTTAAAAAAGTCGTATTTTTTCTCAATTTCTTCTAGTTCCTGGCACTGCAACATTCTCTCTTTAACTTCTTTTATTGTCTTTTTAATTAATCGATTATTTTCATTATATTTAATTGGATTTTTTGCTTTGAATGATTTTCTTTCATTCATTAATGAAAGTAGTAGTTCTTCATTCATCCAGTCTTTATGTTTTATATTCTTTGGTTTTAAGTTTTCATTTGCTGGTTTAATTATTGCTACTTTTATATTTTATATTATAATAGTTTAAAAATCTAATTGTTGTTACCTATACTGTTTACTATTACTATACACTATTGTTACCTATACTCTAATATCTCTATGACCATAAACATAAAGAAAAATCAATAAAACCTCATTGTCACTTATCAGAGAACTACGAACACATATCATAAGTCATAACATATCATTCAGTTTAAACACGATTTTTTAAAACATCATAGAAACGAGGAATCATAACACATCTCATATGATATTGTCATATACACTGTGTCCGTAAAGTATGGAACAAATTCTTTTTTAGCTAAACAGAGCATTTTAAGAAATAATCCTGAAACACGTCGAGTTTTTATTTTAATTTACTGTATTTTAAAATAATATTCTAATATACAGGGTGAATTACTTTCGAGTAATGACTTCACCGTCATATTTTTTTAAATGGAACACATGTTGATTTAAATTGGTATAGGGTGAATAAAAATACAATAGTTTTGTGTGTGCTCATAACGTATCCATCATTGCTTCGCAAAATTGCATTCTTCTATCGGGAACATCTTCGTTTAATTCCTGCATAAGTTTGATTTTATAAGGATGCCATTTTTCAAGTTTTAATAGTTTGTGTACCGTTGTTTTGCTAACACCGATAATCGCGACTAACTTTACGCACAAAACTGTGCGTATCTTTTTCAAAACTAAGTAAAACATCTAATGGTGTATTAGCATTTGCAGAGGGACAACTTGATTTATGTGCATTTTCAACCGTACCAGTTTCTCGAAATTTCTTTTCAATCTTACTGACTGTTGAACGCGTTATAGGTTTTTCTGGATATTTATCATTAAACAAATTGCACACTTTCATCCTAGTTCGCGATCTGCCTCCATACGTAAGTATTTCAATTCTTTACTTTACACTTAACTCCATTTCTACTTCAAATGAAATCTAAGCAATAATTAAAACATTCACAAATATCAAAAATATTGTAGTACTAAACTGCCACTGAACATCAATAAATAATTACTAAACAAATCATGACATTTCACAAAAACATAACCTACTATGTTTCTTTTAAATTGATAAGAAATAATTTCTTTCATATTCTGTCCGCTAGACAACTGGGTATGGAGACAGATCGCGAACTCAGATGGAACTGTGCAATTTGTTTAATGATAAATATCCAGAAAGACCTATAACGCGTTCAACAGTCAGTAAGATTAAAAAGAAATTTCGAGAAACTGGTACGGTTGAAAATGCACGGAAATCAGGTCGTCCGTCTGTAAATGCTGATACAGCATTAGATGTTTTACATAGTTTTGAAGAAGATGCGCACACTTCTGTGCGTAAAGTTAGTCGCGATATCGGTGTTAGCAAAACAACGGTACACAAACTATTAAAGCTTGAAAAATGGCATCCTTATAAAATCAAACTTGTGCAGGAATTAAACGAAGATGATCCCGATAGAAAAATGCAATTTTGCGAAGCAATATTGGATAACTGCCACCGAGACCCTCTCTTAGTACAAAACATTATTTTTTCCACTTCTGAATGAGGCCACTTTCACGTTAAATGACGAGGGAAACCGTCAGAATGGTAGATACTGGGCAAAAGAAAACCCCCACTGGATCATACACAATACTCGCAAAAGGTAAATGTATGGGCTGCAATTTTAAGAAATCGAATCATCGGACCCTACTTTATCGAAGGTAATTTAAACGGGGCAACGTACCTTGAGTTTTTAAGGGGGTATCTCGTATCTACTTTACGTAATGGTTGCAATAAATGACGCTCGTCCACATTATGCTGTAGATTTTAGAAGGAACCTAGATGAACTTTTTCCGAACAGGTGGATTGGTAGACGTGGACCTATTGAATGGCCAGCGAGGTCACCAGATTTCAATCCTTTGGATTCTTTTATGTGGGGTTATCTGAAGAATGTTGTGTATCAAACGAAATCAACAAATATTCAAGAATTACAACAGAGAATTCGGACAGCAATAAACAATATTTCTCAAGACACAATAATCAAGGTTCAACAAGAATTTGTACAACGTTTGGGTTATTGTCAAATACAGCAAGGCCTGCTGTACATTTAAAAAGTCATGTATTTCATTATATTTTGTCCTCTAGACAAGTATTTTTGATAATATTGTTAATTTAACTAACGCGTTATTTTTGTCCACCCTGTACCAATTTGAATCAGCATGTGATACAATTTTGGAATCAGCTCAGCTAGAGTAATCCGAAAATTGAGACAAATGGGGGTGTTCCATTAAAAAAAATATTATTTTTAATATTATTTTAAAATACGGTAAATTAAAATTAAAAATCGACGTGTTTCAGGATTATTTCTTAAAATGCTCTGTTTAGCTAAAAAAAGAATTTCTCCATACTTTACGGACACAGTGTATGATAAAATCATGTAGTAAACATATCATGATTCTCACGAATTGTAAACATTTTCGCGGTCATACTAAACACGATTGTTCCAAAATATCGGTTTACTAAAGTTTTGACTGTCTACGTTTAGATTTTCGTACTGCACGTGGTTGACTGATTTCTTTTTGCTTACCAAAATGTATTTTCGGTTTTTGGTCAAACGGTTGATTTTAGGAAAAAATGTTATTGTTGTAAACCATTGTGTACCTTTGAAGAACGCACATTTTCGGGGACACCCTGTATATTTTTACATAGTGAAGCTAATGCATATTTTTTGCTCTGTTTGTTGCGTTAATAATAAAGTGCACACTTCGACCGGGTGCATGGTCAAGGTGATTTTCCAATTAAATATTTTAACACTCCACAGCAAAAACTCATACATATTGATTACTTTTCTGGAAAACGCATATAAAAAGGAACTAATTTCTTTCTATAAAGTGCATTTTCCTAAATGTAGCTTTAAGAAACTTAAACATGGAGGTGTCAACATTTGAAGAACTATACGAAGATGAATTGAAGACTATCGGTTTCAAAAAGTTTATAAGAAGTGCTAGAGCTCAAGGTATAGCCAAGAGAGCTCATTTGGATTCTTCTGATGGGCAGGTGATCGATGATCATGATCAGTTCTACAGGGATCACAAGCTCTTGCTCGCGTTATTTCGCGTAAGTACTACAATTATATTACGAAAACTACTATTGTAATTTTGTTATTCTTTTAGATCTTGGGGGTCATGCCAATTCAGAGAGGAAAGATCGGGAAAATAACCTTCGGCTGGTTAAGTGGACCGATGATCTACGCCTACGTTTTTTACGTAGTAACCACTGTTATGGTCCTACTAGTCGGCTATGAGCGGGTCGACATTTTACTGAACAAGAGCAAAAAGTTCGACGAATACATCTACTCTATTATATTTATTATATTTTTGGTGCCGCACTTCTGGATTCCGTTTGTAGGTTGGGGAGTTGCTAAAGAAGTTTGTGATTACAAAAACGGATGGGGATTTTATCAACTTCATTACTATAAAATCGTTGGTAAATTATATGTATATATTTATAGTTTATAGTGTTTACAGTAGCATAATGTTGGTCATAAATCTTAAACTAAATGGTCAGTATCATAAAATAAGAAATAATAAAATAAACAATCCATTGCAAAATTTAAATAAATTGCAAATTGCATAACAAAACCTTACGAACTAATAAGTTTAAGTTTAAGTGACTCTCAAATTCATTACTGTGATCTGCTTTTTCCTACTTTTTATTTATTTAATTACTTTAATTAATTATTGAATTAATTATCTACGTGTCGCAAATCATACATAAAAATACAATCTCAGGTTGCCATTATATATATAAAAAAAATAAATCAGCTTAGGTTATACTTATATTTTCTCGTGGCTTCCAGTATCTCTTAGATGTTCCTTCTCGGGATAAAATAGGAAAAGGAAATAAATAGAAATAACATAAATAAACAAATACAAATATCTTTTATTTTCGAAAGAAATAATATGAAAATTTATCAAATAAATTCCATGAGCGGAACTATCCCAATGAAAATTGTACCACATTATATAATTTTAATTTACCAAATATTTATCGGTTTGTTTTTTATAAAATTAATAAAACAACATAGACAATAAATTTGAATATTCGTAAATTAATTACACTTCCTATGAAAATTTTGAAATATTGGAATCTTTGTTCATATATTTTTGTACAAAAAAAATTCTGAGGAATATTATAAAAAGAAACTTTTTAAATTTATTAAGCAATATTAATAATTATCCTTTGGCTTTAAAAAAACCTTTTATAACATTTATGGAGTTTTAAAATAGCTATAATTTGTGTTCTTCTGATGACATAGAGTCTTTTATTTGTAACATACAAAAAAAAAATTGTTGATTATCTTAGGCTACCAATCAAAGCCTTCTTCGTTCTATGTATCAACCTATCAGCATACCAGCAACTCTTTCTCCAAAAACCCGAACAGGCCTCTTTTACCAGAACTCGTTCAACAAACTCCAAAATTCTCTCCTCACTTTTATATACTAACAATCTCTTGAGGCCCAAGTAAATTTTTTTTAACTTGGTGTCGCAAATATTTTTAATAGTCATAGTTCTTGTGACTTACTCACTTGGACTTTATAAAATCCAGGAGGTATTCGACTTCTCAACTTTGACCTATTTCTCGTTCCACCTTTCAGCCACCCACTTCTAATTATTAACACCACTGGCACTTGCTCTTTAACTGACTACACAAAACTTCAACTGCTTCTTTCGGATAACCATCACATAATAACCTTTTCTACTGCAAACGTTCAAAACAAACACTCCCTTTTCTTCCCATTCCAAACTCGCTAACCAACCAGAAAATTCCTATATCCCTCTTCTTATTTTACATCAGGAATGCCCAAGCATCACTTCTAAACAACTTTCTTTAAAAATGTTAACGGTTTTATCTCATACTTTCTAAATACGATAACTACCATCGAAACAAAACCAAGGGCTTTTAAAATATAATATCTACAAATACCGGAAAACAAATTGTCTATTCACATTTAAGTATTACTAATGTTTTTTAGTACTGCAGGGTAAAACTCATTATGGATAAACCCACTGCTTAAAACTAACTTATAACAAATATTTACAAATCGATGTAAAAGGCATTGCAAATTGATCTGCCCGCATTCTATAACAAAATAAAATTGTTATTCTATCTTCGATTGATAAAATGAAACACAACAATACATTGGGGGTACTTGTACTAAACGTAGTATAATATTTTAGTTATTCTTTAAGAAACTCTTCAACTAAATAATGCTGATCTAGCTGTAATTAAGAAGCAAGGGTTGAAGAGCTCTTTTGTAGGAATGCTACTGTCTTATTCACGTTACAAGAGAGTAAATAAGAGTCGGACTAGGTTTTTATTTTGAGTAGATCAGAAGTTACAGTTGCATGAAGAGTTGTAATATTAGTGTTCCTCCAGGTGATACCGAATTCATCAGCAAAAAGAAAAGTTTTTCCATCGATTTTTAAGGTAGTGGTGTCATTTATAAATATAAGGAAAAGTAGAGGACCCAATACTGAACCTTGTCGTACTCGATATATATTTCTTTTGTTACAAGAGTCAGTATTATTTGCTCTAACTAGGTTTTCCTATTCCTTAAGTGTAACGAAACTATTTTGACTACCACATGGGGTAAGATTATGGGGTAAAAAAATTGGGGACTGAAACTAAGGGGGTGGAGATAAGGCAAGCAAAATAATCGCTACTTGTGCGAACGGCACTCAGGGTTTGGTAGGAGAGCTGGGGTTGTGGATAAGTAAAAGATAAGGGGGTTGGATTGGGGCAACTACAAAAAAATGAAATAAAGGGTTCTTTAATCTCTTGGGATAAACAAAATAAAGATAAACAGCAAACACCTCAAGGAATTTAATATAGGACGCCACTTGAGGTGCCTAATTATGCCTATTACAAACACTAGTTGTAACTAGGGAAATAATTATAAAACATTAAAACAATATCTTTTTCAAATAGAACTCAAAAAAGGGTTAGTTAAAAAAAATAAATAAAATGTTAAGAAAACAAATTTTAACATTTATTTTCGTGTCACCACAAACAGTTACAACATGGAGAAATACAAGAATACAAAAAACTTACATGTGTCATCCGCTTACAAACTCCAGGAGTTGGAGATACTACATGAAACTTACAAATGTTACCGCATTACAATTTTTAAATGTTACAAATTCTAAATTTTAACGAAAGCAATTATTGTTCCAAAAAATATTGGTCTTTACTTTGAAATTAAACAAACAATAAACAGTTACCTTACTTATTTCCCTAAAAGGAGCCAAAAACAGAAGAACACAAATTCGACGAAGAATTTGCGGATCCATACTTGCGATCCACACAGCGAACTGCTCGGCTACCCAAGCATGAATTTAGATCCCACCTGACACTACGACGACCCAAGTATCAATTAAGATCCATACCTAATACTACGACGACCCAAGTATGAATGACGAACTTAAAAATTCGTTCATATAACTTGAAAATAAACAAAACGCTGACATAACAAAACACAACGAAACAACGTAGAAGATTCTATTTGCGACGTATAAAAATTATAACGTGACTTCGAATAAAACATTAAAAGAAATTGCCGAAAAAGTTAAAACAATAAACAACTCTAAAATGGTTTATTTTAACTTGGCCGACCTAAGAAAGAATTGAAAAGATATTTGGGTTTTTAATACGTACGAAATATTCTTAGATTTATTAAACATATATAAGGGGATTCTAATATTTTACATATACGAGGGGATCTCAATATAAAATGCTACATAAGTAAGATTGGAACCAATTTAAAGAAATACCACGAATTCCGTAGAAATTTAGTTCTTTTATCAAAATGTTGTGATTTACACAATTAAAAGCTTTGCATAGTCACAAAAAGCGTGGCAGTGAAAAGATTATTGTTTAGTGCTTAATATACCAAAAAATAGTACAGAAAACATAGCATCACTGGTACATTTATTAGATAAAAGACAAACTGATTTTGTGATAAAATGTTGTTTTCAACGAGAAAGGACGTAAGTCGGGCTTTTATAAGTCCGTCAATAATTTTGGATAAAACCTATAGTAGGGCAATAGGTCTAGAGTTGCAGACATTCAATGTTTCACCACCCTTATATAGAGAAATAATAATAGCTGTCTTTAGGCAGTCTGGAAATATAGCGTTTTTTAAAGGAATTAATTATTAATTAGTGAGACGTCACTTTTTTTTGGAAGATTTAAGAAAATTTTCATTGAAAGTCTATCAGTACTATAAAAAGATTTGCTTTTAATACTACTTATTGTTTGGATCAGTTTAGATTTATCAACTGGTCTTATAAATAATAAATTCGAGACCCTCTCATTAACGAAGTATTCATTTAGATTTTAAGGGTTTGGAAGAGAAAATATTTGAGCTGTTTTAGTTTTATTTCGAAGATCGTTTTTTATGGACCAAGCTTCTTTTGCAAAATATTTAGAGCTTACCAAATGATTTTAGTGAATGTATATTCTTGGCTGATATGGGCACCTTTGGTAGTTCAGAGTTTGTGATGTTTTGACTTAATTGTAATTAAAGGAAATGCTTTATTAAAAAAATAGACAAGCCTATCTAAAAATCATTGTAATTGTAGTTTACATCCTCAGAGGAAAAGTGCCTCCCAGAAGTCAAGCACAAATTTTGGTAGTTACGAAAGTTTTGAGCGCAAAATATTCTACCTAAACGTTGGGTTTTTGAGGATGGTTTGTTAAGAGTGTTAAACTTGGTATATAGTGCTTAATGATCAGATATTCCTTCATGAATAATTGTAGAGCGTACATCAAGGGGTGAGAAATCTAAGACAATATAATCAATTATTGTAGATGTTGTTTTAGTAATTCTTGTAGGAAAATTAATGTGCATTGTGAACTCATACGATTCGAATATATTGACCAAGGATAATTGGGTAGCACAAGCAATGTCGTAATTAATATTCAAGTTACCGCATATAATTTTCATGTATTTATACTTATAATATTCTATATCGATAATACCTCTATAAGGTCGTCTAACAAATCTAGCATGTTCTGAAAAAATAATTCTGTGAAAGAATCAGGTGATCTATAAATGCAAAGAATTTATAGATTAAGATTTTTGTTATAAACCAATGAAAACTCAAAAGGGCTTCATTTAACAGAAAGTCATATTTTGTTATAGGAGAGATGATCTGATAACATTCCAGATGGATTTAGATTGTTTAAAGATCAGTCAGCGGTTTGGTTTTTTTTTAGAAAGCACGCTTTATGGGAAGCGCTTTCGAAAGGATAAACTGGATTCTATGTTTTGTTTTATCACTATAAATATAACTTGAGTCTATCACTATAATCCTGAATCAAAACAAGAGGCCCAAAGAAGTTGTTTTTGTTTGTGGATTACTTGCAAACTGGAAAAATAATAAATTATCAATATTAGTGTAACCTTTTAGACCAATGAAAGGAAACATTTCGTGAAAAAAACCTGGTTTGCAGAATAAAAAAATCCTTTTTCATATGAGCATTTTAACAAAAGCTAAAATTCATTAATGAATCAATTCAATTTAATTATTGGAATATCCACCGTATTCGCCAGATTTGGCCCCTTGCGACTTTTATCTGCTTATGTACTTAAAAAATATCGTGCGTGAAAATCATTTTTAATCAAATAAAAGGATATATCAAATCATAAAAAACTATTTTTCTCATCGAATTGCATAACTTATTGAACAGCCTATTATCAGCATTGGTATTTATTTTGGATGTTGGATTTTCTAGTGACGATGGTAATGGCGGATGGTTTTATGTCCAGTTGAGAAGAGTATGGACCTGAGAAGCAAGGACTTCGAAAAAACAGTTCTTTGTAAATGGTTTTTGATTATTTGTGGTTGACTAGATCTAAAATTGTGTTTGGGGGCAGTAGTGAGTAGTTACTATAGTAGTAGTAATAGTATAGTAGTTAGTGAATAGTAGTCACTACAGGCAGGTATAATTGTGCAATTAATTTAGGAAACCACAGAAAATCGATCCCTTCCTGTCCGTGTAAAAAACTCTAAATAAACTATTTACCGAAGTGCAATAATACAAAGAAATTTAAGTATGTATCTATACTCTTAGTAAATCTAGTGGTTAGCAGTAAGAGAGGAAGTGGGATAGAGGTCTCAAAGATACTAGCGAAATGCTATTTAAATATTTTTTACAAATAAGCCAACTTTATTAATTAATTTTAATGTTTTATTAACAATTTTTGTACTTTCCAGGTAGGAATTTGAAATTCCCACATCTCAGCACGTTAATAGTAATAATAAGCTTGGGTTGTTTGATAGTAGCAGTGATGCTACTTCTGACTTTGAGTGCTCTTCTTGACGGATTTACTTTGTACCATACCACAGCTTACTTTCACATCATTACGATGATCAACATGAACTGTGCTTTGTGGTATATCAATTGTCGGGCTATAGGAAACGCAAGTCATGCATTGGCGGATAGTTTTCAGGAGGTGAATACAAAAATGGATTCTGTAGATATTGACTGTTTATTGTTTTTACTTGCAGGATATAGACCAACATTGTTCTGCATATATGATAGCTAATTATAGGATTCTGTGGCTAGAACTGAGTGAGTTGCTACAAGCTATTGGTAACGCATACGCAAGAACCTATGCGACATATTCTTTATTTATGATCACCAATATCACAGTTGCAGTAAGTTTTGTATTTGGTTATGGGCTTTATGTTTACAAGATCAGAAGAATGTGGTCCTTTATGGATAAAAGCAAAATGCATATACTGGGTCTTACTTTTCTTATACTAGATTTCCTTCATTTTCTTTGCAGGTTACTTTTTTAATCAGTTATTTTACTTTTTGATTTGTAATAAATTTTTTTTTAACTAACGCCTTCACAATTCGTCTAAAATCCTTTTTTTTTATTTAGGTGAGGCTATGAAGCAATAAACCTACCAATTTTTTTGTAATTGGACGAATCTCAATAAAAGTTATTACATTCGATTTGTAAGAGCGTTAGGAAATTTTGTAAACTAAAGTGATGATGTCGAAATAAAAATTCCATTAATGAACAAGGAAAATTCATTTTCCAAAGTGCATTATGCATCAGCAATGGAAATTCGATACAAAATCAGTAAAAAGGTGTTACTCGGGAGGTTTTTGAGGTCGCTGATCACCAATATCATAACAGCGATGGTTTTTGAGGTTCCTGGTGCCAAATACGAGCTTAATCTTCCGGAGTTTTCTGGAAATTCAATTTAAAACCAGTACAAACTCGTCACTTAAAGCTTTTTGGGATCTCTGAATACGAATATCGTATCGGCGATAGTTTTCAAAGCACATGGTGCATAGGAGGAGACTGTCCTCTTTTGAAATTTGAAAATAAGATACAAAATCAGCTCGTTCTGGATACCAGGTGCCTTAGAGGTCATCGCCGTCATGATATTCATGTTTAACTACCCCAAAACTTTATATCGAAATTTCACAAAACTCGAGGAGACGAACCTCGGAGACCATCACCGATATGATATTTATATTCAGTGATCCCAATACCTAGTTTACACCGATTTTTCACAATCACAGAAGCCCATGCCCGCCCTGGGCACTAGGTGTATCGGAACCTATCGCCATCACGATATTCATAGTCAGAGACCCCAAAAATTTTCGAGTAGTAAATTTAAACCCATTTGAACGCTATTAAGAATCGAATGCAACAAGTTTCATTGACATCCATCCAACTGAAAAACATTGGTAGGTTTCGGGCGTTTTACTTTTTTATTGCCTGGCCTAATTATAATTTTCTTAGCTAGATTTTGTTTGATGTTAAGAGAGAGTAATAACTTCAATAACTGCCAAGCAGGCATTTTATAATTTCTCGTTACAATATATCTGTTGGTAAAACCTAATAAAATATCTTATTATCATATAATGAGTGTTTTGTATACATATTTGACGATTATATCTTAAATTTAAATATGGTTGAGTGAATCAATCGATACATTTCTTCTTCTTGTTAACCTTAGATTGGTCAGATAATGGATACAAATTTGCTCGTTGTTCGTTTTGTAAAAGAGTGTAAAAACATCATTCAATTTACCGATAAGTCAAACCGTAGTTTACCTTTAAACCTATACAATGTTTATTGCAATCATTTATAATTTGCTTATTTTGCACCTATGAATTAAAATTGTTGTTCTTCTTCTTCTTCCTTCTTGTATGTAGGCATCAAGCCTGGTTCTTCTTCAATATTAACCTAATAAATTATTCAAATATTCGCACCATCCTTTTATTGGTCTGCCAATACATCTTCGTCCATTTGGTGACTTATCTCGTGCTATTCATACTACTATATCCTCTGCCATTCCACTAATATGTTTGTTCCACTTATATTCCCGTTTTGTCACCCATCCATTTATGTCTTCTATATTGCATGCTTTTCTTATGTTTTCTCGTCTCTCCCTATTCAATAGATTTTTCCTGATATTCCTCGGAGTATTTTTATCTCTGTTGTTTTGAGTAGTTGTCTCGTTTTAGATGAATGAGGTCTTGTTTCCGCCGTGTATGTTAAGAAGTCTGATTGCTGCCTTATAGATTCTTGTTTTTGTGTGTTGTCTTAGGTTTTTGTTCTTCCAGATTGTGTCATTAAGAGATCCCGCCATTTTACTTATTTTTAAGATTTTTTGTCGTACTTCTTCTTCAACATCTACTTAACTAGTTATATCTTTTCCCAGATACCTAAACCTTACTTCCTGTTTTATTATTTTCATATCAATTTGGATTTTAAATCGAAGTGAGATCGAAGGAGATATAGTAAATATTAATTTAATTATTGTTATTAATCTTATAATAGACCTTTGCTTAATTCGTTATAATTTCTCTCTCTCTCTCTTTCTCTCAATACCAAATAAAGCTTAGTACAATTTTATTTTTGTCATGTTGCACCCTTTAACATTCTTATTTTTAGCATTATTAGCTTGGTGGACCTAAGTTATATTCATATTTTTCTAGTATTTTTCTACTGTTTTCCAATAGTGTATTCGAACATTTTATATAATTTTGTATATGTATATTTTCCAAGATATATGGCTTCACATCTGAGGTAGTGGATCATGGAATAACATTTTCTTTCAAAGAAATGGGCCTGCTTGTAGCTGGTCTCTATTGCCTTACTCTATTGATGATATTTTGCAACTGTTCCCATCAAGCTTCAGAAAATATAGCGGGGCGGATCCAGACATCTTTATTTAACATCAAGATATTTAACGTTGAACAAGATACAACCAAAGAAGTAAGTCGGAACGTTGAAATTGTTAGATTTGTCCTTAAATAATGTCCAATTTTGAATTTTGTAGTTGTTTATGTTATACTATTAAGATGCAAATATATATTATTAGGAAATTACATATGATAGGAAGAAAAAAATGAATGAATTTGTACGCATAGACAATAATATGGAGGAACAATGGACTGACCATTTCACGAAATTTTATGGAGAAAGAGAAGGAAGAGAATAGAGAAATAATAATTAACGAAACTCACGATAGAGTACTAATATCAGAAGAAGAGCTACAAGAACGAATAAAAAAAATTAAAAAAACAGAAAAGCACCTGGTCGTGATAAGATAAACAATGAACTGCTAAAATATGGAGGAACAACAGTACGCAAATGGCTCCTAAAATTATTCGTCGATATAATAAATACCGGAGTAGTACCAGCGGACAGGAAGGAAAGTCTCCTGCTACCTATACTTACAAAGGGAGACTCGAGAAATCCTAAAAATTATACAGGCATTAGTCTGATGAGTACATTAAAATTGATAACGGCAGCCATAAAAGATAAAATCGAGACAAAAGCAAACATAGCAGATGAACAACAAGGCTTCCAGAAGAACTGCAGCACAATAGACGCAATTTTTATTATCAGACAAATAATAGAGAAGTCTAATATGGAAAACCAGCATACATGTGCTTTGTAGATTTAAAAAGTGCTTTTAATATGGTAAAGCGAAATGACATCCTAAATTTATTACAAGCTGAACAAATAGACCATCAGATAATAAGGACAATTAATGAAATTAACAGGAATAACAAGACCAGACTTGGTAATGCCAATAGGAGAAACAGAATGCATAGAACTAAAAGGAGGAATCCGCCAAGGAGACTTGCTCAGCCCTTTGTTGTTCAATATGCTGATGAATCAAATAATTCACGAATTAAGAAAACGACACGGATATTACATGAAAGCGCATAAAATCACGATACAATGCTATGCCGATGATATAGTACCAATTGCTGATAACAAAAATGACCCACAAAGGCAGCTCCACACCTTCAACATCACAGCAAACAATCTTAATATGAGAATATCAGTGGAAAAAAACTAAATGTAAGTGATTAGTAAAGAGCCGCGTAAATGAAAACTAGAAATAGACGGCAAAATTGTAGAACAAGTAATGAAATTTAATTACCTAAAAGTAGAGATCACTAGTGACAGGGATATAAGAACAGAGACCATAAAGCAAACATCAAGCGGCAAGAGTAAGTGGTTGCCTCCGAGAAACCATATGGAGAAACAAATATCTGACTACGAAAAGCAAAATGAAAGTATCAAGACAACAGTAAGACCAATACTAACATATGCAGCGAAGACAAGGACCGATTCAAGAAAGACGAAACAACAAATCAACACTATCGAAATGAAAGTATTAAGATCAATAGCGAACATATCATTAAGAGACATACAATGCAAAATTTAAAATATTAATAGGTGGATAAAACAAGAAAAAAAAAAACTGGAACGAACATGTAAACCGAATGGGACCAGATATATTAGCGAACATCTGTAAAAACAACAAGACGTATAGCAGAAGACCCGTTGGAAGGCCGCGAAAAAGGTGGAAAGATAATGTAGAGTCAACAATGACTGAAACAGAATAAAAGGCAAAAAACAGGAGTAATCCTAGTCGCACGAAGAAGAAGAAGGAAATTACAGATTTGCAAATGTTCTTTACCAAAATTTAAACTAAATCGAATTAATTGTTTTTTAAATTCGGAAATTATTCGGAAAACACATTAAATGAGTTCAAAAATGCTTTTGATGCATTGGAAATTGAAAAAAAAAAAAAATTAAAGACATGTGTATTCACCATTTTGCCTGAACACTTGATATTAAGGAATGTGTGCCTAGAGTGGATATAGTGTGCTCACATTCGAACAAAAACACCAACGCGCCAAGTGTTTTAATACTCACAGTCGTGTTTTTGCACCTAAAATTAACAGGTAAAATAAGAATACAGTATTTTACTCCAACTCGACAGCAGCTGATTGAAAAATATCAGAAGATATCAACCTTGAAAATCACCATTAAAAAATATCAGCCGTGCAAAGCGACCAATGACGCAAATTATAACTACCAAAGATTTTGGCAGTTGATTTTTGGCGTCCAGGTCTTATAATGCCTTTTACCAGGACTTATTTCTGATTTATACCTAACTTTAACATGCAATCATACATAGGTACACAACTGACGAGACGGTATGAACAACTCCACATTCACTGAACAACGGCTTCAGGAGAAAGAGTCGGTGAGTTCAAGGTTACTTGATTTATCCTTAAAATAAGCAAAAGGTAAACGATCAATTAAGAAAACACTTTACTGACCATAAAACTTGAAGCAGTTCCGGCGCTAAAGAAGATTTCCCAAATTAAAAATTAAAATTAAACTCTCCATCCCAGTGAGACATTACTATTTTTAATGAATCTAATACACCATGAAGCTGCTGGGTCTGCCTGAAAAATGGCGGGAGCTGTCTGTGCGAACCAGATGCACATATCTAGATTCTGTACAAGTTAACCTTATTTAATGCTAAAAATGTATCATTTTTGTCATCAGAAAAACGAATATTTCTCACTACGAATAAATTTAGTTAGTCACTTGATAACATTTTAATAGAATTTACATCATTAAGGATATTAAAAATGTTTTGAAAAATTCCTTATATCACTTTTTTGTAGATTGAACTCTTTTTGACAGCTATACGCCTAAATCCACCAACAGTATCTCTAAAAGGATTTTCTGATGTGAATAGAAGATTGGTCACATCTGTAAGTTACGCCAATATTCAGAATGTACAATTTGCAGTGTATACAAGTTATTATTTTTGTTTTAGAGTGTTGCTACTATAGCTATATATCTGGTAATTTTACTTCAGTTCAAGATAAGTTTGGTCAACCTTCACAATCCGTAGAATGCAGTTTAAAATTTATAAAAGTTTTACATAAAAAACTACTCTAGGTACTCTCCAATAGCTGTAAAACTAAATTAAATATTATTTTCTGAGCTCTTAAGTTTTTATCTTGTTAATTATTCCATAAACTCCTTTCTAAATTTTGTAAATAAACATTATTGACGTACTACCATACGAAAATTTTCAGCCATTCGCAAAATGATTCTGTAACGATATTTTTTTTGGGATATTGATGTCTCTTTTTCTTTATAAGAAGTTATCAGTTATTTCTTCTCTCCTTCTTTATTGAAGCTTGATACTGGCAAGAGTTTCACAAGACATTCCTCAATCCACCAAAAATGAAGAAACAATCATGGATGACAAATGAGGTTTTGTATATGACGGAGGTGGGGCAAAAGTTCGAAGATAAGGCCACAACGTTATACAAAAGGATAGATAAAAAGATCACAAAGCAATCGGGATATCAAAAGGATACACGACTAAGAGACCAATTTACAAAAATACAGATATTACAACATAAACACGATGTGGCAGTTTACCTAGAACGATCAAGCATATTCTCCATGACTTCGAAGCACTAACTTGCAGAGAAAAACACTTCTCGCTAATTATCACGTGAAGCCAAAAATATATTAAGTATTATGATATTCTTCCACTACTAACTGATACAGTATTCCAGAATTCTGAAGTCTGTTTACAACAGACAAAAATAGATATACAAAAGTGAGGCGGGAGGTGGCTTTTGGTATGTCCTATCACCAGTGACCAAAATTTAGAAGCCAGGAATGAGTTGGTATGTCGGCACCGGAATCTATTATGAAATATTATGATACTTCCTACATTCCCAGACGAAAAACTATTAAAATTTAATAACCCCACACCAGCCCTTAGCTGGAGAGACGAAGCTCTGACTAGGGATTTTTTTAACTAAACATATGAAATAGTTGTTCTAAATTTTCTCACCTTGATAAATTTTACACAATTTTTTAAAAAATACAGTCACGAAAAATTAGGAATTATCACTTGAATCTAAAGACATTTTCGCTACATCGCGTATATCTTTCATTTAAGTCTTGTGATCTGCTTTGGATGACTCATGCACTCTTTTCACTTGGTTCTTCCTCAACCTGGATTTGACAAACCTTCTTTAGAGGTAACCTCTCTGAAACCGCCTCACGTTCACAGTAGAGTATTACCTTGAACATTCTTGCCAGAAATAACTGCGTCGACTTCCACTTGATAAAGCCTTTTTAATGGTCTCAGAACTTGGCCTTGTACAGTCGCAACATAAACTAACTGCACCTGGTCATCCCTACTAGGTCATGTCAAACGACTTTCGCAATAGACACTTTTGACACCTTCGGCTTCTTCGTTCCTGATTTTAGTTTAGCCAGATATTCAACAAACTCCTGTAAGAGTATATTTTCGGCAACTCGTAACTGATTTGTTTACGTAAAAATATAGTTGACCTTAATGTGGTTGACCCAGTAGGATCATATGAAAGATACGTCAATGGACGCGAGTTGACTATGCTCCGAAATTACACAAATATGTCAATAAGTCTTTATAATTTAGAGACGCTCAAAACTTTTCGCAAAAGTCCATTAACAACACCTACTAATCGCTCCCAAAATCCACTCCACCATGAAGCTGTAGGGGATTGAAACGCCACTTAATACGTTATGTAGAACTATATTCCGCGATAGTGTTCCAATCCAATTGCTTAAGTAGGTTCTCGTATCCTACAAAATTTGTTTCATTGTCAGTATAAGGCGTTCTTAGGCATTCTCGCCTTGCAACAAAGCGACGAAAAGCTTAAACACAGGCAATTTGTTGACAATGAGGTGACGAGTTCCAGATGAACTGCACGATAAACAGCACAAGTAAAAAAACATGATTTCTCGCCCGATTTTAAGTAAACTAAACGAAATTCGTTTCGTATCTGAACTGAACGCTTTGTTTTATACTAACTTCAGTAAAAGAATTTCGGCTTTATCGACTTCCTTAGAAGGGCTTCCAAGGATAGAAAAAGTGGAATGTACAAAAGCTAAGAGATGCGAAAATTGCAGAACTCGCAGTACTCGAAAAACATCACCAACAGGCTAAGGAATCAAAACGAGAATGAAGAGGCCAGTCAGATATAGACTCCTACTAGACCAGAATAAAGAAAGACATTAAAGAAGTAGTGAATTATGAAATAGTTAAATATATGGATGTAATACTTAAACCGTGCACTTAATATAGAGAAAAAAGAAGAAAACCTGAAAGGTGAAAGAGATAAGGAAAGGGGGATAGACAAGTGGGAAAAGGAACCACCAACGATTCTTGAAGTTAAAGGTACAATTAAAAAACTAGCAGGAAACAAATCACCCGAAATAAATAATCTCCTAGTTGTAAATAGTATATAAATAAGGTGGCCACGATACATTAATGGCATTACATCATCAGCTTATAAACGAAATATGGACAAAGACATCTCCCACCCCCCAATGATTGGAATACTTTGCACCGTTCACAAAAAGGATATATCTTTGAATGCTGTAATCATAGAAGACAATCTCTAATCCAAACGACAATTACAAATATAGCAAAGGAAACATTAGGTGAAACCTCAAGCAAAAGAAACGAGGAAAAGGTGCAAAGAAAATATGTAGAAGGAAAAAGAACGAAATGTTGAATAGAAAAATACAACAAATTGCAGATTATAATAACAGAAGAGAGACTAGAAAATTTTACAAGGAAACCAAGCAATACACCTAAGGATACATGACAAAATCAACAGTTTGCAAGGACAAAAATGGGGTAATTATCAGCGAGAAAGAGGAAATTATGAAAAGGTGGAAGGAGCATTTTCAAGAGCTGTTAAACCCAGAAAAGGAACAAAACTAAGACGAAGCTTGACCGAACTGTTCAGAGGTGCCGTAAACAAAGTCAAAATAGCCTTGTTAATAGCCAACGTCCCAAACGGATAGGGCAAAGGAAGAAGAAGAAGAATATCGATTTCAAACAGGTGTTTGATGGAGTAGATCGACAAAAGATGTTGAAGCAACTATGTATGTTAGGGATACCCAATAAGTTGGTTAAACTTATACGAATGACTCTGGAGGGTTCCAAATCTACGGTGAGAATAGATGGAGATATGACGCAGGCCTTTGATATTGAAAATGGAGTTAGACAAGGTGATGCCTTATCAACAATACTTTTTATCTTAAAACCATGAACATCAGGCAGTGGCGAAGGAAAGTATCCGACAGGGCAGAATGGACGAACATTGTTAAGCAGACTCACAAAGGGTTGTAGCGCCATTAGAAGAAAAAGAATCATAGAAGAATTACGCTTCTAAATAAAAGCGAAAAACCTAGAAAATCTTTTAAAATCAGGGTTTTGTAAAGATATTTGTGTTAATGTGCTGTTTAATTATTCTAAAAATGGCTTTAAAAATCGATTTTTTGAACAGTATTAATAACTCTTTTAAAAATGGATAAAAACATTGATTGCCCGTGGGAATAAGGACAATATCACAAATATTCAGTTTTAAAAATTTCAAGGAGTTTCACTTAAAAGTTATTGGAAAATTGTAATTGTTTATCTCAAACAACATTGTAAAATAGTTACCAGAAAAATAGAAAACACTATATTTATGTTAATGATCCTAAAATTTTTGATATTGTACTTCTGTCAAGCATCATCTCTACACAACTATTATAACTTTACCTTGTTCCTACAGATAACATCATAAAATAAGTTCTAGAAGTTCTAACCACCAACAGATGGCACGACCAGTTCTAAAATTTTTTGTCTAGGCGTGCCTGCGTTATATAAATCTTTGTCCAAGTAATCACAATATTTGGGTATTTATGAGGTAAAAAAATATACACTCGGATTTGGAAATAGGCCATTAGGTATAATATCGACCACGAAATAATACAGAACGGTAAAATGTATAAAGATGTATTTACCCGACGATAAATGCGACAGAAACAAATAAGTTGTTAACATTTTTAAAAACTTGTCAACAGAAGCAAAAAAGGAAAGTTGTCATTCCAAGAGTTTGAAAAACATTCTTTCCAGTGTTGATTTTAATATATTGGGAAATATTTTAAATTTTTATTAATGTTTGATATTGTATGTAGGATTATTAAAATATTTACCACATAGTTTCAAACATTTATTGACAAATACTTTGTTACAAATATGTCGACTAATATGAAGTTTGTGTTTGATATGATAACTTCGATAAACTAGCAATACACGTTACTAGTTCATATCTTCCTCTTTATGAACGTACTTAAATATTTATTAATATAAAACAAAATCTTAAGAGCGCTTTTCTAGTACTTCTTGTTGAATACTCTGGACAACAAACGTTTCATGATTATTGTTTAACTGCAAGTGTTCATTCGTTGGGGTGAAATACTGTTTTTCTGTGGTATTAGATTCTGCAATGGTCCGTATTATCAGAATCATTTTGAACTTGTTTTCCAGTCATCTTCTTCTTCAAGTGCCATCTCCGCGACGGAAGTCGGCAATCATAATAGCTATTCGAACTTTCGAGACGACTGCTCTGAAAAGTTCATTTGATGATATCCGTACCACTCTCTCAGGTTGCGCAGCCATGACATTCTACCTCTTCCTATGTTTCTCCTTCCTTGGATCTTTTCCTGCATAATCAGTTGGAGCAAGGTGTATTTCTCTCCACGTGTAATATGTCCGATATATTCTAATTTTCTTGTTTTTATTGTATTTAAAATTTCCATTTCTTTATTCTTCATTCCCAGAACCTCTTTGTTTGTGACGTGTTCTGTCCACGATATTTTCAGTATTCTTCTGTACACCCACAGCTCTAATGATTCCAGTTTTTTTATTGATGTCGCATTTGTTTAACATTGATGTAAGATAGGCTTAACGTAAACCTGGTAACTATGTCAAATATGTCAATGTCAAGTCAACACCACTTCCCAACGGGGACAATGGGCGACACGATCATGTTGTAGTGTATG